GCCAACTAAGACCATGTCAGTACCTTGATAGGGAGCTGCCTGAAGAGAGAGATTTTCCAGATTTGCAGTAAGATGATTTGTAGCACCACTGTCAAAAAACCAGTTGGGATCTGATCCATGAACTGAGGAAGAGGTATTAGCAGGTGGAGAAGTACCAGCTTCACCAATGTGAACTTGAGGTGAGTGACCAACACTTTCCTGCCCTGTAAAACTGATATCAAACCGTCTATAACATTTCAAGGCAACATGATTAGCTTTGCCACAAAGTTGACACACAACCCTGTCAGAGTTTTTGTAAAAACGACCACGACCACGAGGAGATCGTCCCCTGCCTCTGGGAAAACCACGAGAATTAGCAAATGAACCTCGAGACTGAACAAAATTTGCTGAATAAGCAGGTGCAGAAGTGACAGCAGTCGAGGAAATCGGAAAAGCAGCCGGAGATGACGATGACAACTGACTAGCCAAACGCATTTCATGAGTCTGAAGAGAAAACTGTACCTCAGGTAAGGAAATGGAATCTAACCGAGATGTGAGGTTAACAACAACCGCTTCATAATCGGAACCTAAACCACCAAGGACATACATAGCCAACTCATCATCCGAAATGCGGTGACCAACAGAGTGCAGTTCATCAGCAAAACCACGCATCTTAAGGATATAGTCATCAACTGATAAATCCCCCTTTTTTAGGGTTTGAAGTTGAAATTTAAGATGAAGTACCCGAGCTTTAGATTGAGTATGAAAAAGCTGCGATAAGACAGACCAAACCTCAGCCGAAGATGAACAACGCGTAACATGACCAAGCATCGATTCTGACATAGACGCAAGCATCCAGCTGAGAAGTAGTTGATCGGTGCGCATCCAAGTAACAAAGTCGGGATTGAGCATCGAAGTAGTAGAATCAGACACAGCAGGAAGAAACTTGGGTGGAGAGGACGCAGTGAGAAGAAAATCTTCAAATCCATAAGCCCTAACTGTGGATAGAACTTGCAACTTCCAGTATGAAAAATTTGTGCGATCCAAACGGAGAGGAAGCGGAGTAAGATGAGGAGGATGCGCGGCCATCGGCGACGAGACATGTAGCTCCGCCATGGCAAGGGAAAAAAAAAATTAACAAAAGTGACCTAGCTTTGATACCATATTGAGATCAAGAGAGAAACAGAGAAAGGAAACCAAAACATATTCATTGATAATAATGATGAAGGACTACAGAGGAGATTTATATATCTCGTGAGCTGTTGTCTAATCACAGTTGTTAGCTATGCATAACTACTAACAACAGACACGTGCTAACCACATGTGTTAATCATATGCTAATTAACTAAACATTGACTTGACTCTAATAAATGGAGCTATTTATTTAATATCTAATTAACTTAGTTTTTTATACTAAAGCTATAAATGAGCTTGACCGAGTTCGAGCTCCTCATACTCGAATTCAGACTCCATCCCTTATCGAGTCAATAATTAAGACCTCGAGTATTAAGGAGCTGCATTATGTTAAAAGTTCTAAAAAAAAATGTTATTTGTCTACCCTAATAAATTGAGTCTATCTCACAGGCGTTAACAACTCTATTCTATACAAACTTGAGATTTTCAAATTTCAAGAAATTATATAACTCGTGTACTTTCTGCAATTGAAAGCAAGCTTGAGTGAAATAAATAAATAAAATACAATAATGAGCATGGTTAGTCTTTTTGGGCAATGCTGCTTACTTTATGTGAAGAAAAAGAAAAATAATATTGTCTTGGGGTTTCCTATGTGATTTATTACCATGCCACATCTTTAAGCTTCTTTCTTTTTTTTTTCAATTTAATAAAGTACAAGAATTTATATTTACCTTTGACTGTTGTAGAATACCTAGACTACCATATAATTAAATTAAGATATAAATTACTGTAGAAATTTAATCACGTAAACAAAATCTTGATTCACAAGTGCTTGCTCATTTGACTAGCGCCGTAAATTTATTATTAAATACACAGTTTTTTTCTACGCTGCAGAGTCAACAAATAACTCGGCCTCGTATCAAAAGGCTCAAAACGTATGTTTATAGAAATGAAATAAAATATATATGTTTTGTTTTTTGAGTTGTATATAGAATATAGATCATTGCTCATGTATTTGAAAGAGAAGGGTAAGTTAAATACGAGGCCTAGGACAAAGCCCATTCCGAAACAGATCAATCATGATAAGCAAAATAAAAAGGACGGCCCAAAACTGGCAATAATGACGTTTTATAAGCCCAAGCATTTATGGGTTCGTAGGTGGGCTTAAAAGAACTAATATTGAATAAAAATGCCTCAACTCTTCACATATTGTATGGTTTCATAATTACCAAATAAGCATTAGGAGATACACTTTTGCATGTCATTTGTAGTGCAACTTTGGGCAGCAAACGAATCTAGCAAATGCTAAAGTTCGATCAGAGCTCGAGTTTGATTGAGCTCGAGCATCTTGAATTCAAATGCTCTGAATTCGACTCGAGTTCGAGCTCGAGTCAATATTTTATAAGTTCGAAAGCTCGACAAATTGCTCGAGTATAAGTGTCACTTACTTGATTATTAGTATTATTCATATTTGAGATAAGTTTGAGATAAATCCGTGCCAATTTCTTGTAAGAAAGAAACAACTTATTTTAATTAGTTATTTTTACTTGAAAATTCGAGACGACCTCAAGCATTTGAGTATATTTATCGAGATCGAGATAAGATTTAAAATCATGATTATGAAAATATAAATGATGATTTTGCCGTAAAATGCTCGGAAAAACTATTTTTAAGTAATTTCACTACAACATTTTTTTTAGGCATGGTGGTTCTTCGTGCATCTAAAATTCTTCTCAAGACTTAAAACTATATTTGAAAGCAATCGTGGTAATATCTCTAGTAATATTAGTAATTATTATTATTTTTTTTTTATTTTTATTTTTTATTTTTTTTTGTCATGGGGTTGTACCTTTTCATTTGAGATGATATAAATTCTTATATTTTCCAGAAAAGAACAAATGTTGGATCGTTGTTTATAATATTTTAGGCTGATGGTATATAATCTAAATGATATCCCATCAATCTTTGGTTAGGTAATTGATATTTGATAGTACTGAAAAAAGCTTTCCATCGATAAAATATCATATTATCATGTCTAATCACAAAATTTAACAAAATGCTTATCATTTCATCACTCGTTCATGGCACCATTTATTATTAAAGCAGCAAATAAGCCAAAAAAAAAAAAAA